CAAAACAAGCTTTGGGTTCGCTTCTTATTTGAAGTTTCGCTATGGTTTCTAACTTCTTATTTTCCAGCTCGAAAGTTAGACATTTTTTTTCTTTTAATTACCAAATATTTTGCAACTCCCCACTGCTAGATGGCAATAAAACTAACAGGGCCTTACACCACTGGTCTTTAAAGGTTAAAAACTTATACAAGCTATTAAACAAAGGGTTTTTAGATTAATTATTGTTATCCACAATAAAGTCATTAACTTTTTGATTTGCCACCACAACTATAAAGCTAAGGGAAGGGAATTGTGTAGATTAAAATTATTCCTATGTTCAGGTGATTATACACTAATGAAAACATACCTATCAATATCACGCAAGTTACCTACACTATCAGGCCGATAATGGGCGTAATCCTAGCATTGACACAAACCCTTGGTATCATCTGTGTATAAAGATGGTGTTCTGCTAGTCTTGACAAATCATTAAGTATCAGTCTTTTCGTTCTAACCTAGCTGGTAATTGCTACCATTGTTTTTTGTTTCATTTATAATTAGAAAGCAGGAATGTGCAAAAAGGAGTTGCATTTTCTGAAGCTCAATGGTGTCTCTGGTTGAAAAAGAGGATTAGTACATTGCAGCTGGAGTCTAATATGGCGGCAGTATAATATAAATCTTGTATAAACTGTAAAACTGCTACATCTGGTGGACTCTCTAAAAGGTTAAATGTTCACGACATAATACATGTGAAAACAAACTGATTGATAGCATAATAGCCAAGTTTTATTAAAGGGCACACAGCTTGTAGTAATCTCTCTTTACTCCACTTGGCTATGTCTCACCCAATCATGTGTGTTTATGTAAATAATGTAGTGCAGCACAGTCAATTGTTGTAAGTTTGTGCAGGGGTTTAATGTCCATTCAGTCAGAAGTGTTGGTTGAAGATATTAACTTACTACACTGTTTTTATTGTAATTAAAATCTATACCTGCATATACACCCTAGAATACAATATCGGGCTGAAGCTCTAAACACATCACTGCTTAAAAGTTCATTTTGCTTCCTAGAGTTCAGTTATGGTGACAGGTTGCACATACATCCAGACCCTCCCAAACTGCTGCAGTCAGCTCTACATATAAAGTCCCTGCTATTTATGTGTATTGTGTTAACATTCTCTTTTCTTTTCTCAGACCTCCACCTAAACAGAAGAAATGAGGTGTGGAAGAAAGCTCGGGGAAACGATTACCACCATCTAATTTTTATACTGTCAGTGTTTGTTGCGCTCCTATCCACCTCCCCCTGTCTGCAGATTTTGCACAGGGTGAAAGCATATCTAGCACTGAGGGTCAAATTTGGCTTCCTTGTTCCTTTTTGACAGTTAACTGACCAACTGCTGGAGGGCCTTTTCTATTACTGATGTGGTTGGGAGTCCATTTACAGCCACATATTGGTTGCTAGCAAGTCATGTTAGCGGTTCATAATGTTATGGTTCAAATCTGGTTAGACCACACTTATTTCACATCTGTTATGCACAAATGATGGGTATATCTGACTATCAGGTTTGTGTTCCTGTGTAACAACACAGTCACATGTAAATTATGTGTAAATATCCAGCATTGTGTACGGTGTAACCCTGTTACATGATTAAGCTGGGGATTTTTGAATTCACCTGCCCCGTGATCAAGTTTCTTTCTCACCTGAGTGTTTCAAAAGAAGTGTTTATCTTAATAGCTGTATTGAAAGAATTTGTTTGGAATAACTACTATATGGTTTGAATTTTTGGCTCCAGTGAGGTGTTTGTTTCTTTTGCTTGGTCAGTAACTTGTTATTTGTGTGTTTCCTGATCCTTCTTTTACTTAATGGCTTTTTTTTTTTTTTTTAAATGAAGTAGTGTACTCCTCGTTATTGCTTTTATCTGGATGCTTTTGATTTCAGACTGCATAAGCCACATATTGTTAGGGATATTCCAAGTATCCACACATCATACACGCCAGATGCCTAGTATTTTTAGTGTATAATAAGTTTGTCAGAACTTATGTATGGTAAATAAACTTGTCTGTCTTGAATGTTGTGTGTGGACTTATGGTATCATGTGAATAGACTGTCATGTCTGCACAATACCCACTTTGTAGGTCAGGAACTTATGCTGACCTGTTTAGTTGTGGTTTAGTGGTAAACTTGACCCTGTGTGTAAGTGTACAGACATGTATAGATGGTGACTTTTTCACTTGTTACTATTAGTATAACTTTTTTTTTTTTTTTTTTAACATAACATCAAGTTTGTTTTAATAAAATGTTTGATTCTTATTTTTCGTTGGTTATAATATTTCACTAAATAACCTTGCATATTTAAATTTGAATATTCACTAGCAATAGACTTTATTTTTTACAGCAGCCATTTTGACATAAAATATTGGGGTTAACACTGGTGGGTGCTGGTATTGTGCATGTTGGCTCACTGAAAGTCTGCTACACTAAATGTAATGGAAGCTTCTTAGTATAATTGCTAACACTGTTGTTTGCCCTACTATTTTGTCAAAATGGCTGCTGTGTAAAGGTCTATTTGGCCGGTACAAGAAGTAGATTTTGCACACTGGCTACCAGCATAAGGACTTTTACCTTTTTAAACAATGTTTACAAACTACTGGTTAGACATCAAACGATATTTTCATGTCATTGTGTTGACCAAAATAATTGCAATACGATAATCATGAAAATATACATCATACTGTTGGAATGAAAACATACTGGAATCACTTTACCTTACATTCTGTTAAACATATTGCACTAGCGAGCTAGACAACTTTAAGTTAAGCTATATGATGATATTGATGATCATTTCAATAATAGAAATTCACGATAAATGTATATTTTTATCGCGACATCATGCAATTATATTGTATATCATCTAATCCCTGACACTGAGAACGATTCACTGTCAATGCGGTTCTTAAGTATTCAACGCCCTAGTAAGATAGTGTAGATGCAGGACCAGCACCTGTACTGGTATCGGAGATGATGGCCAAATTTCCTATTCTGTTTTTTTTTTTAAGCTTAGATTTAGAACTCGGGGATGTCTGGCTGCAGTCCTCAGTTTTAACTGACTTTTGAGACTCGCTGTTGGCTGTAGACGCTGGTTATATGTAACCACAGCGGAATCCAACCAGGTTTTACACAGTTCACTTTGTCAGCTCACGCCAAACTGCCTCTTTTTTCCGTACCTGTACACAAATGCCTTGATGTGCGTTCGTATAGTATGCGTTTGCTACATGAAAAACAATTACGCAACCACGTTCTCAGATAAAGAGTAACTTTTGGAAGTCACTTGTGTGACTGTCCGCGGTGGATTTGTTTTGGCAGCCATTTTGTGGGAAATTTCTCTGGAACGCGCTGGGCCGTACTTTCCTGGTGTCGGGAGTGCGCTCTCAATGCAGCCCCTCTCCTTTGACCGATATTAACATCACGGAGGGGCTGACCAGCTTAGAGCTATCTGCAGCTGTGGCTGCTAAAATATATTAAGTTTTTCATAGCGTCTGCCTATACTGTCCAGCGGTCCATCGGCTGACCGTTGCCCACCAAACAGCCTGCCGTGTGCGGACTGTCTTCCTCCAAATTCCAATGGCAGTGTTTTATTAGACAGCTAGCTGTTAGCATGCTAGCTAATGGCTAGCTAGCTTATGTTAGCTTCTTGCCTTTAAATTAATTGAAAAAGCTGACGGGCTTGCTAATCCAACTGACCCACGCTGTATTTGTACGGTTACCTCTTATATACCTAAGAATACAATTCGAACAAGTGAATTACATTGGCTGAATATAAAAAGACTGAGTTCGAGGTGTTCGTGGTTTAGGCGGCGGGCTGCCCACCTCCCCTTAGGCACGGCTAGCTGTGCTGCGCCGGCAATCAGCCCCCATCGACAACCCGCTCCCTGAGCTCCGGAGAATAACGCATTTTTACTGGGAACTAATATAATCGGGATTTTATCGGCAAACAATTCTACAACACATTATTTGGATTTTTGCTGTGGAAAGGGGACGACAGACCCGGGGGAGGGGGCTCGGTTCGTGTGGACGGAGGGAGATAGGGGTTCCGAACATGGCTGCTACGCGGAACTTGGTTCGACACACCACCTGAGGTAAGAAATAGCCGGTCGGTGTCGTCTTTTTCTCATATATGTATACATTTGGGGCTACCATTACTTGGCTCTCGTATCAAATATGTGTTCGAGGCTTCATTGTCAATCGGTATAGCAGAATGTTACCCGTTCGTACGTTATTCGCCCCTGTCACCCGGCCTCGTGTCCCCATTCCTCTGCCACTGCCATTAAGATGGCTAATCGGGCAAGGGGCAGGCTGCTGTTAAATAGGTGGGTTAATGTATGTAGGACAATGGACCGTATTTAACAATTAAGGTTTGGCTGTCGCATCTACAGTAGCTGAGACGTGCATTATGATGATGGACATCATAACGTTACTCCGTTTTAGTACCATGGAATGTCCTCCATATGTACCATTATCTACCCACTGCCCTTCTAGTTTACCTTGTGACTGAGTCGTTTTGAATAGCTAATCATCTGGCGAATTCATAAAATGTGTTGGGTTGGCCGTGAAGAGGCTAATGATGGATGCGATCACTGTGTGTATCTGGGCAAGTTTCAGTAGCAGTGGTATCGCGACCTGCCTTTAGTTAACGCGCGACACCGAATGGGAGAGGATGCCGGCGGACCAATACGGAGGGAGAAATGGGATGAATGGATGTGTTGCTGCATTAAAAGTGTTAATATCCTATATACTGCAGGTGATTAAATCCTGGTGTGGCTTATGAGTAGCGATGACTTCAAGTGTCAAAGCAGCCAGCCAGCCACCCCCGACTGTCCTCTGTAGATCTGCAGCATTTCATCTGCTATGGCAGCTAACGCTAGCCGCTAGCTTAGCTACCGCATCAGCCCCAGCCCCTACCCTGCCCTGGAGTAGAGGGACATAGGCATTCAGTTGCCGGGAGATGGATGCCCCTAGATAAGGAACAGGACTGTGATGAGACCGGTGCTGATGAGCAGCTGGAAGAAACGTCACTTGTCATCTGTCTACATGGGTTGCTATGGTCCTCTCTGTCGGTGCTCAACAGAAGAGGAGCTCTGAAAATACTGCCGATTGAAATAAGGAGGCTTGTCACAGACCCTGCCCCCACACAGCTGAAGTTGGGCTTTTCTTTTTAGTCCCAAAATGGACCTTTTTCACAAAGTACCTCTGCTTTACTCAATTCTTGTAATTCTCTGTGGCTCAGAGGCAG